GCCCATATATATCTCCAAGAATCTCGAGATTTTGTGAAAACCTGTCCATATTTTCGCTTCTGTTGCCATGGAGACGCCGTAAATATAGTCGAGCAATGTATTCACGCTGTGGGTGAGAGATGTGGATGGCGTTGCGATGGTGAATATAGGATAAGGTGTATACGTATGTTTGTGTGTGTGTGTGTGTGTTCGAAACGCTGAAACGATGGACCTATACCCTAGAATTACTTTTATTCCATGAATCCCGTAAACGAATCGCAACTCGGCAACAGCGAGAGGGGAAACTCAGACTACGTGACACCTTGAGTCGAGTGTTCAGTTATCGCCGCTCCCTCGCCTCGCCTGCAGGAAGTGAGATAAGAAGGCCAAAGCGAGTCTCTCTCTCTCTCTCTCTCTCTCTCTCTCACACACACACACACACACACACACACCCTCCCCCATACACTCACACACGTGACACCCTCCAGTGCTGCTCCGTCTCTGAACCTGCATATAATACTTTAATGCAATCTCTCTTTCTTGCGCAGAGATCGCCATGGAGACCGCCACTGTTCACACTACTGATGTTTATACAGATTTTTCATCGGGTGTCAGTACGTAGATCAACTTCCAGTTTAGTCTCTCTTTTTATTCCATTATAATCACATTAAAAAAAAGAACAGTAAGAGAACGAGAAGTGAAAAATATTCACCGCAGATTCAGGAAGCGTCGTGACTCGTAATGAACGTGAGACGCAAGTCTCCTTCCGCCGTAACTATTATTTCAGGAGTTCAGTCCCCTAACACCGTTTGTGAACCACCAGTTTCGAATCTCGAGTCCGAACCCTTGATTCGTATCTGCATGTATTTCGGATTCTAAAGAGACGAAGGAAGGGGACTACGGAGTCTCTGTAAATAATAATGTTTCACGTGTAACTAATGTTATAAATAAAGCATAATAGTAAAGATAAAAGTAAATAAGAATCAATTTATAACCTAATTAAATAATTCATAATGAATAATAGATAACAAATAGTAAATACCGAACAACAATAAACAGATAAATGATAAATACCGAACAACACTAGATACATACATAAATAAAAGATTAAAAAAAAAGAAGAATATTTGATCATTTGTTTCACGTGTGAATAACCTGATGAAGGAAAAGCTTGAGAAACACACTGAATATACAGTACATAGTGAGGAAGAAAATTTTTGTAGACATTTCATTATTTTGATCACTGTTTTTACCATCATTACTCTTATTATTCATGTTAGTAATATCATGAACAGTGATCACCTTTACATAAATAGTCCAAATCATCATCGTTAAACTGCTTTCATTATTAATGGTATTTTGAATGGATACAATGTCATCGTCATTATTATTATTATCATTATTACGAATACAACCTCATCATCCTGATGGTTTAATAATCAACATCATTATCATTATCCTTAACTTGAATATCATGTAATGATGATGGTAAGGTTGATAATGGTAGTAAAATAAATGATTATAAGAATGATAATATTAGCCTTAATAGTAATAATGATAACTATAATAGTAATGATAATAATAACAATGGTGATAGTAATGATAATAATAACAAAGGTGAGAGTAATGATAATGATGATAATCGCAATAATATTAAAAAATAGCGATAACAATGATGATAATAATGATAACAATGATAAGGATAACAATAGTAATTATGATGATATTAATAACGATGATAAGGATAATGATAATAATGATAATATACTACTGATACTACTGTTAATGATGATAATAATGATGGTGATGTTGATAATGATGATAATGATAATGTTGATAATGATGATGATGATGGTGAGGATGATGATGATTACGATGATTATGATGGTGATGATGATGAAGATGATGGCGATAATGATGATGATGATGGTGATGTAGAGGATGAAGAAGTAGAAACAGAAGCAGTAGGGAGAAGAAAAAGAGAAAGAAAACGACAACCGCACTTACGAAGACACGAAACGCAAAAATTTGCATATAGATACATTTTTTTCTTTTCAAAAGTGAAGCCAAATATTCCCTCATCAGTACATCTGGCAGAAACGGAACATTGTATATGCATTGCATGAGTTGACACAGAGCGGAGGTGTGGTAAAGTGTGAATGAAGTATTGATTGTACAAAGGAAAGGGAAGAAGCATGTTCACACTCACACACACACACACACACGCACACACACACACACACACACCACACACACACACACACACACACACGCAAATCCGTCGCCCACACGAGCACTGTCCTGTGGCTAAGGGGAAGGGGTGGTCGGGGGAAGGAGTGGGGGTTATGGTGAGGAAAAGGGTGGGGGGGGGGGGGGGGCGGAGGCATACGTGGAACTCTTGTTGGTCTTTCTGTCCTTTTATTTCTCTTGGTCTGTCATTCTCTTTTTCCTGCTTTTTAATTTTCTCCTACTGTCTTGTCATCTCTCCCTGTACACACACACACACACACACATATATATATATATATATGATTTATACATATATTATATATATGTTATATATATTATATATGTTATATATATAATATATATAACATATATATAATATATATGTATATAAATAAATGTATATATATATTCATATACATATATATGTTATATATATTATATACATGTTATATATATATATATATATATATATATATATATATATATATATATATATATGCACACGTGCGTGTCTTTCTCTCTGCCTACTGAAACATAACTTCTGATTCACTGGCTACAGCAACCCACATCGTATTGTGCGAGTATAAGGTCTGTGAGACAATATCAATAAAATATTACTTCTTTACCAGAGAACAGAATGATAGAAAAAAACAAAAACAAACACAGTATCATCAGTGTTCTGCTTGACCAGGATGTGAGACACGGCTGCTTTTGCTTGAACGGTTTCGAAACCTCGGCTCTCCTTAGGTCGAAGAGCTTCGGAGTCAGAGGGCAGTTCGAAGCACTCGTCCCGTTGTGTACTTACTTGCTTGTCATTGTCTTTGTGTTTTACATAAAAAAGACGCGTTGTTTGGAGTAGGACTTCCTTTTCGGTAGAGGGAGACAGTTCCAAGGGCGAGAGGGCGAGGAGACGCGATCCTGATGGCCTGGTGATGGGCAGCGGTCGTGGCCGCGCTCCTTCAGTCGAGTCTACTATTACTACGACTCCTACTACTTCTACTACTACTACTGCTGCTACCAGTCTCGTGATGCTATTAAAATCTGACGACATTCTGATGAATGAACTTGTTGGAGCCTCATGTCTGCCATTAATTCCCGTCCACTGTTATCCATTCGTCTACAGTATGCCACCATCTTTTCTTTCTCCTCTTCACAGAAGAATAGTGTATTTAAGGATACGCGACATCTGCGACAGGTAAATTTGCCACTGTCAGTACAAACTCCACTACGGACCTCCTGACTTTTCCTGATCATGAAAGCTCGCGACAATACCACACTGTGCTACGAGTATTTTTGTCACCCAACACGGCCTTATTGCGATACGGTTATATTCAAAATTGTGTACCACATCCGTACACCTCATTGCGACACTTGCTTCAGGCGAACCAATTAGCACCATAAAGGTTTTTCTAACCATGCAGTCTGTCTCACGTGATGCAGATGGGAAATTAGTATGTAAATCGAATCGAAGTATACATGGGTATATTGGCATATCTTTATTTATCATTAACGTCCTTTTAGATGGATTTGCTTGTCCGTCACACACACACACACACACATACATATATATATATATGATATAATATAATATATACAAATATCCTTTTTTATGCTGCTTCATCTTCTCGTTGTAAGGAACAGTGAAAGTCCCCTCTGCAAAATCGCGTATTTCCTTATCCCTTTCACTTAATTACAAACCGTTTCGCTTGAGCCTTCCGTAACTTAATCCATCGCTGCCTGTCAACTGTAGTTTTCCTTCGTGAAATATGCTTGCACGTAGATAGCTCCATAAGTACTAAGGAGCCAATTAGTAGGCCTTCACCTGATTTACCTTTTCCTCCAGCTTTGGCAGATTATTTTTTTTGCTATTGATAGAGAGTTTATCATTATTATTATTGTTATCATTATTGATGATGTTCTTAAAATACTAATAACAATGAAGTATATTTCTGAAGACACTGGGAAAAGGTATACAGTTGAGATAGGTAGGACTAGTGATTGACTCTTTTCGGATTGATCCATTACTAAAAAAAGAAAAAGAAAGAAAGAAAGAAAAAAATGTGGAGATGGATTGTATTTTAGCCATCTCGGAATAAGTCGATTAATCTCGTTTCCCTAAGTACTTTGGAATTAAGTTATACGTTATATATTGTTGATTTGTTTTATATAATATTTTGGAAAGTTCATAAGGAACTTTTAATGCCAGATTTTGTTCATCACGCACTCACACATCACACACATTTACATATGCACGCACACATACACTCATACTTATACACACACACACACATATAAATATATATATCTGCTGTGTGTGAATGAAACAACGAAAGGAAGAAACGCGAATATGCCATGTTCATTGTGCTCATATGCTATATATATACAAATGGCCAGTTATGAATGTAAACTAAAACGGAACATAAGCATATATCTAGTGAAGAGAATTGTGTCAAGATAAAGTTTGACATCAAATCATTTGCCATATATATATATGCACACACACACACACACACACACACTAACGCACACATATGTGTGCGGGCATAACGAAGGGACTGGAGGAGACTGTCATATGTCATGGATAGCATGTATATATATTTTTTCAGCTTTGTAACACAATCTATCTCCCTTTTTCCTATCTTTATCTTTCTACCCCCACATATATGAAAAGACAAGAGAATAACAGGAAGAATTTGGTGTATATATTCGCCTCGGGGCTATAAGGGCTTTGGAACACAGGGGAGGAAAGCACTCTATCTCTTTTACTTTGTTTCTTTCATTTATTTATTTGTACAATTCGATTTCTTATCCTTTTTTGTTACAAAGCTTGTCCCTAACACTTTCTTTATTCGCAGACTTGGAGCTATAACTTAAAAGACTTTCATGGTTTTATTGACGTCCAATTCGTGAACATATCGAAAGGTAAAACACAACTTCAAGCTTTCAAGGAGACAGTTGTTCTGCCTCCTATAACCACCATGAATAGTAAAAGAAGAAATAAATACCTGTTATTTTGTTTTGACAACTGGAAATACATTTATGATGCTTATTTGACATACAAACATCCGAGCAACTGCAGGCAGTTGATTAAAAATGACGAGGCAAAGCAACAGCACATCATGAGACACAGAAACACATACGCTGAACTCAACAGCTTCCTTATAAGTTATTTTAAACAATCAAGAACGATGTACAAGAAAGTGTGCAAAGGAAAACAAGCGTTTATCATTATTTTTCATTTATTTATCTTTAATATAAACGTCAATTGCCACAACGGAGACAGAGCAAGCCGGGGCTCACAAGGATATACCACTGTCGCCTTTTTTTAATGTGTATCTTATTCACCGATGTTTATAGTGGCTACGCTGTGTCAGTGGATAACACCAGTGACTTGTGAACTGATGTAAAGATAAAGATAAAGATAAAGAGAATCATATTGGTTATATTCAGGACCCCCTGGTCTATTTCTTTCCCGATTTTACTTTCTTGTCATTTTTATTTACTTTTCATTTCATGGAAGCTCTCTGACAAAGAGCACTCATGACTACAAAGCATATACAAAGGACAAACATAGATGTCCCAAACAACGCGTGATACACCTACCATAGACATGTGATTTGAATCCGATGCGTATGATGAACGTACGCATAATACGCACATATGTATAAATACACACACATATATACGCTATGAGTAGTTACAAATGTCTCAACATGTTTGCAAATATTCAAATTTTAATTATTTTATTTTCATGTATATTTAAAGCATGAAGCGTTTTCATTTTTAAGAAATGTGCATCTATAATGGACAATCGTTCTGTTTAAAGAAGGGGGAAAGGCCGCCTCATCTCCATAGGTGTTGCCATTTCGAGCAATAAACAATTCCATTGAAAAAATATCCACCACAAAGTCAAGAATAACTAATACTGCACTTGCTATCGGCTATTTGAAGAAAACGAAAAGAAAAATCGAACGCTTTACATAGAACCCAAAATGGATATTAATACACTTGCTGGTTATTACTTTCTACCAATCACACTCTCTGTTACAGACAACCGAGGGTTTTCGCCTCATTCATAAGGATACTATTTACGCTATGTTTACTTCGAAATGGTTGCCAGATGTACAAAAGTGGGACTCAACAAGTGTATTGAAATATGATTCAGAAACTGTACACGTAAAGCTATCGTGTTTCAGTGAGACCCTAATCGCTGTGTCCTTATCACATTATGATGATTAATGTGAGAAGAAATTCTTATCACACATCCTGCTTCTGTTACGCCAAAGTCCAGAAATATTAAACACAATACGAATGATAGTACAGGTTTTATCCGTCGTAAAATGATAAATCTGAACACGGGCATGAGCTTGTCAGTATCATCATGTTTAACGCCCTCTACTACCATACTAACAATCATTGCTAACATGTATATCGTTCACTGTTTCATATTCTTCGCTTCCGAAATGGTGAACATCAGCAGAAACGTAAATGTCATTCACTGTTTCGTATTCTTCGGCTTCACCTCGTTGAAAATTATCAGCTGAAATGTAAATGTCATTTTCTGTTTCAAATTCCTCCCTTACGATCTGACCCGCTTCACTTCGTTGAAAGTGATCAGCCGAAATGTAAATGTCATTTTCTGTTTCAAATTCCTCCCTTACGATCTGACCCGCTTCAAACTCGGCCTTAACATGCACTGTTCCAGTTTCTTCTCTCCGAGCTTGGTGAAAGTATCCGGACATTTCTTGCTCACTTTCCGTCGCGGCTTCGTTAGTCTTGTGGCAACAGGTCCTGAGCAGCTGCATCTTTCCACAAAGGTACTTCCGTTTGTACAGCAGGAGGCCCAGTATTGGCAGCAGGATGAAACACAGCGGCCACAATTTTCCTGTGAAAGTAAACACATCTAAGAGCATATCTAGTATATCTTTATCAGTATTCGGTGCACTAAATATAGAAGTTGTTTTTTAGTCAAATCATGTTGAAGAATTTACGCTGTCCGTGTAGTTTGTACTAAAAGATGATAGCATTAAGTGATTATAACTTTTGAAGACCCGTGGAATATACCTTGACGTGAGTAGTAGATTCAAGTATTTCTATTAAACCATAGTAGGTTACTCCTTGCGCCAAGACACACCTAAGCCGTAGATGGATAGCTCCAGATATTTTATGACCACTTAAACTCATTCGCCCCATGTGGCAAGAGTACATGTCATACCCACTGTAATACACTTATATTTACTGTATTTACACATAGATGGCTCTACAGGTTCTTAATCAGCAAATAGCCAATTATCAGAACTACCTATCTCACCTGTTTAACCTCTTCCTTCACATTAGGAAAGGGTCTTTTGTATCATTTCATTGTCTAAAACATTTTAATGACAATTTAATAATCATAACATCAATAACAATAATAACAGTATCGATAGCAATGGTATTAAGAAAAAGACATTTTCCCGCCAATTCAAGGAATGGGAAAATCAGGATCGGTAACTAGGGCCTACTGATAGATTTCTTGCCGGCTGAGCTCATGTGGAGCCATCTGTATGTAACAAAATTCACCAAAAACTACAGGGGACAGAATATAAATGGGCGAATGGGTTAAGGAGGCGGCCACCTCCCTAAGTAGTCCCACGCTTCAGTCATCAAACGAGCTTTAGTCTCACAGCAAAGGAGGATGGAAGAAGCAGACCTTCTACAATTAACTAGCATTTGATAACACTGCACTGCAGCAAAGGAATCACAAACTATCCCTGATCGTCGCTTACCTAATGGACGATGTTCTTAAAGGCTGTGAGATATGAGGGCAATTTCTGTTTCTATACTTGTATCTAATACTAACACACACACACACGAGTGTGTATGCGTACACACACACACACCACACATAGATATACAGACATGAGTGTGTGTATATACACACACGCACACATATAATCTTACATGCATACATATACATAAATGTGTATTTATGTGAATATGTTTGTATATATATACATAGACATACACACACAGTGCTCAGTGCTCTGAGTGGATTGAGCGACGCCTTGTTCAATGTTCTGAGAAGTGTCTCGCTCGTTTTGCCAGATGTCTTCTCCGTCTGTGAATGTCGATATGATTAAGAAACTGAATCCAATTAAAGGCTTCGAAATCTAACAACTTGAGTTAGGATTTTATATAGAATATAAGCCAAATTATTGAGCAGAACTGAATAAAACTAGATAAAAATGACTAATATAGCTAATCTAAAATTTGAGACAGAAATCACGCATGGAAAGAACTGCCAAACTCTAAATAAGTGATGGTAAAAAATAAAAAAAAAATAACTTAAACATACACACACATATACAAGTACATATGCACACACATTATATGATTATATGTACATATACATGTGTGTATATATATGTATACGATATATGAATTTTTGCACCTATGTACACAACCATGCATAAACACATACGTTTATAAACAAGCATACATTTATACCAATAAATATATATGCCAAGAAAATCGCGGATTAAAAGAACTATGTGAATGTATAAAAGATATAGAAACTTCCCCAAAACATTATCTAAAGCAGAAGTACTGTATATAAGAATTGCCGTATTTCGGCAACAGACCTGTCTCGCTTTGTTCCGTGGCCTCAGGGGATTGTTTCATGCCTTGTTCAGTGCTCTGGGTGGATTGAGCGTCGCCTTGTTCAGTGCTCTGGGTGGATTGAGCGTCGCCTTGTTCAGTGCTCTGGGTGGATTGAGCGTCGCCTTGCTCAGTGCTCTGGGTGGATTGAGCGTCGCCTTGCTCAGTGCTCTGGGTGGATTGAGCGTCGCCTTGTTCAGTGCTCTGGGTGGATTGAGCGTCGCCTTGCTCAGTGCTCTGGGTGGATTGAGCGTCGCCTTGCTCAGTGCTCTGGGTGGATTGAGCGTCGCCTTGCTCAGTGCTCTGAGAAGTGTCTCGCTCGTTTTGCCAGATGTCTTCTCCGTCTGTGAATACGGATATGATTATGAAACTAAATCCATGTGAATGCTTCGAAATCTAACAACATGAGTTATAATTTCATATAGAATATAAGTCAAATTACTGAACAGAACTGAATAAAAAATGACGAAAATGACTACTATAGCTTATCTAAAAAGTGAGACACAGATATCATTCATGGAAAGAACTGTCCAACTCTAAATAGGTGATTGTAAAGAAAAAAGAAAAAAGAAGAAGAAAAAAAAAAACCTTACTGCAAGTGATGCAGAAAGGAGGATTGGAACTTCGAATGTACAAGGAGAAGATCTGGTTTGTCTCCGGAATGTCCAGCTTCCGCCATGTTCCGTGAGTCTTTGCGAGCACACTTGAGCGGTCGATGTTTAGATGGAAGTTCACTTGAAGAGTTTCGTAGATCAAATTTTGTGCTGTTAATTGTTTCACTATCTTTCATAGTAATGATGTGGAAGGCATCGGCTGTTCTGTTGAGTGAGAGACCGAATACATTGTTTTTGTTTTTGTTGCGAAAGTCCATTATCAGGTTCTTTGAAGTGTCATTGAAGTTCAGACGTGGCTCTGAACAGTAGAAATATCCACTTCCTTGTGATAGCATCCCTTCTTCATAGCAATCTAGAAAAGAGTAGTATAGACGTAGTATCGTATTTGCTTTAGAATTCACTGAATTTGATCACTTTTTCTGATAAATGTAGCATTCCGTATCTATAACAATCTAGAGAAAAAAGAGATAGAAGAAATGTAGTATGGCTTCAAGTTGTATATGCTTTAGAATTTCTTGACTTTGATTCTCTGTTAAATGAATATCTTACTGCTCTCTGTAGGAAGGGCGCGTGAACAGGCCAGCTGCAGGAGCGCCGCCACGACCAGCCTCCGCCAGCCGGCCATCGCAGCAGCCGCGGTGCCTCGCCTTCGCACCCTGGGAAGCTTGCAGCTCCTTGGACAAGAAACTCTTCTGCAGGAAAAAAAAACTGGGGTCCACTGATTCAGAGCACGCACACAGGGATGAACAAGCAAACGGCGAGACGCCCAATGTGAGGGCCTCTAACACACGCTGCGTCTTCGAGACTAATGAAAAACAAGGATCATCCGGTCTTTTGAGACGAGTGTTAGTTACGTCACAGTTTCTGATAAAATTGAATTCAGATGTCACTCTGCGTGACATTCATGGACCTGTTTTTTGACCTGAACTCCTGAGGTAATGGGATAATGTTCATGATAACGACAAAGTATATCGTTTTGCACATCTCAGTTCCTTCACTCGAAGTCCTTAGTGGGAAGATCGTAGGAAATGAAGTTTTATGTATGACCTGGCAACTCACTGTCTTCTCAGCATCAGCGGTGGGTAATCAGGAAACCAGGAAGTTTTTTTTTTTATTTTTTTTTATTTTTTTTCCTTAATAGATTCTTTTGCCTTATATATACATGTTTTAAAAAGATGCAGAAGCCTCATATCCAACCACGAAGAATAATTATGGTAAGAAAACCTGCTTTACTTTACAACGGATACTTTGCGAGGAACGACGCACATTTACATGCGCACATTTACATATGCATTTACTTATATGTTGTACATATAAATTATATAATGTATTTATATACTGTAAAAGGGCTTACTTTCTACATATATATACACATATATGCATATATAAATATGTATATGTATATATAAATATATATATGTATATATAAACATATAAGTATGTATATAAATGCATATATGTATATATATATATATACACATATATTTAATATTTTTGTATATATATATGGAAATATATATATATATATATATATAAGACACACCCACACACAAATATATATATGAAGAGAGAGACTTCTAGATAGATAAAGGTTTACATGCATACTTACAAACAAACACACACACTCTCTTTCTCTCATACACACACACACATATATATGTGTTTGTGTGGTACTGTATAACTAGGGATGTAGGACGAATAATACACACGAGTTAGAGTCTTTTGAGAGATTGACAGATAAAGATTGAGAGAGTGAGAGTGAAAGAGATTGCGAGTGAGGGAGTGAGAGAGAATGACAGTGAGAAAAGGAGCAAAAGACAAAGGGAGATTTTAGAACAACCATTCATGAATTACGCATTTCCTAATTCGTATTTTCGTAAGATATATTTGCAAAATGAATATTCATTTACATCTTTCATGATATGATTTCTATGAAATAAATCTAGAATTTCAGAGGGATGTAACATTCAGAATTTATATATCTGACGGTGTAGACCTAATAGGTGACTTACAGGTGAAAGTCTCAAGGCATGAACACCACCACTACGAGTATGAGTAGTTAGTCCCATTTGCGAAATCTCTTGAGAAGAAATGACGAAGGCAGCATATTTCATGAAAAGATGAGATGTAGTTCTTTAGTTCAATATATATATATGTGTGTGTATGAATGTATATGTGTATATATATGTATATACATATACATAAAGTTAAGCATTAGGTGTCAGCTGATTAGAATAAAGAAAAAATAAAGAAGTAGGGAATCAGAGTAGTCCGGAGTCCGCGGTGAGGCTCCAGCTTTTTATTTACTGAGATTAAACACGCTATAGGTCTAGGGTAATGAAGTTTATTCTCCAATCTTAGAAAACATGAACTCTGACATGACAATATAAAACGTAGTTGAAATGGATTTACCTGTAAGTAGTATGTCTCACTAAAGTAGGTATCTATCATGATCCTTTTTTTTCTCCTTCCATTGTGTATGGACGGGCCTATATATGTGTGTGTTTATGTATATACATACATATTTATAATGAATATAAACAAATATATAGATATATGTATAAATATATATACTTACACGAACATGTATTTATATATATGTAAATGGTTACACTTGATGATAAGCTAAGAAATCACACTGCGAAATAATATGATCTTAATTTCTATGCTACAGAAAAAAAAAGTGTTGGAAGTTAGTGCAGTAAATATGCCAAGCATTTTTTTGTATTGTCATATATCTACTATATTTACATCTGCCAGTCTCTCTTTCTATGTGTGTGTTCCTTGTTTAATATTCTTCACATGTGAGCACGTGAACGTCAGCAGAAATGCACATGTCATTCAGCATTTGGTATTTTATACTTGCCTGTTGTTAGCAGAAATTTAGTTTATGTTTCCTAATCCTCCCACTCAATCATTACGTGTAACACCCTCTACTGCCATACTAACAACACACACATATATCATGCACTGTTTTGTATTCCGTATTCTTCGTCTTCACATCGTTGAGCAGCATCAGCCGAAATGTACATATCATTTTCCGTTTTAATTTCCTTCCCTTCGACCTGACCCGCTTCAAGTTCGCCCTTGTTTTGTTCCACTTCCTTCTGTCCAAGTTTGATGAAAATGCCCGGACATTTCTTGCTCACTTTCCCTCGTGGCTTCGAGGTCCCGAGGGCCTGACACAGCAGGTGCATCTTTTCCAAATGGCATATTTACACACACACACACATATATATATATATGTATGTGTGTGTGTGTACACACATGTAAACGCACACACGCTTATAAATATCTATACGCACGCAAATGTATATCTTGCAAGAAAAATTCGGTTAAGACTTCAACAGGAATGTAACAGTGCTATAGAATGACCTCCTGAAGAGAACATGTAAATACCGTAAGCACATTTTTGTTTTCGGCATCAGACCTTTTTCACTTTGTTCCGTGGCCTGAGTGGTGTCTGTCGCGCCTTGTTCAGTGTTGTGAGTGGTATGAATGACGTCTTGTTCAGTGTTGTTGGTGGTTTGAACGACGCGTTGTTCAATACTGAGAAATGTCTGCCTCGAAGGCTTTGTCGTTGTGCCAGATGTGTTCTCCGCCTGTGAAAAGCGATATAATTAAGGAATTAAATGGAATCCAGTTGAATGTTTACAAAGTTAACAGCATTTATGATAATTCTGTTTACAGTTCCAGACAAACGGCTGAATGGATAATAAGCAAACATATGGAAAATGCATATGTACTTGATAACATTTCATTATTTACTAATCGAAACTATTAGTGAGACAAAGATGGAGCTGTCAGATTCAATTGGTAATGGGAAGTAAAGAAAGAAAGAAAAGATAGAGAAAAACACCTATAATACGTGATGCATAAAGCAGGATTGGGAAGGAAACTCCGGTCTGGTCTGTCTTCGGAATGTCCAGCTTCCACCATCTTCCGTGAGTGTTTGCGTGCACACTTAAGCAGTTGATATTTAGCTGCACCTCCTTTGAAGATAATTAGATCTAAGGCTGTGCTATATTTCCTTTGAAAGCAATGAGGTTTAAGATAGCAGCTATTTTGTTGAGGGATAGACTGGTTAGTCGTATAGTTTTTGTTACGAAAATCCATTGCCAAATTCAGAAAAATAATAGAAATATACTTTTCTATCAGATCGCATTTTGACTTTCGAATTCACTTAATTTGGTCTTATACAGAACATTTTCGAATGAATGAATATTGTGAATGTTACTGCTGTCCATAGTCAGGACGCGTGAAAAGGTCAGCTGCAGAGTGTCGCCACGGCCAGTATACTGTGTATTATAACGGTATTATACGCCCGCGTGGCCCCCACGTGGAGGCTTACAGTGATCACGTGGCTACCCAATGCGGCGTGCCCCAGCGGATGGGCGGTTCTCCTCGCCCCCCAAGCCAGCGTCTCGGATACTTAAGGCCGCGTTTTGACCGGTAAAAGGCAGAGTGTTCTGTGCCGCGGTCGAGGTCACGATCTGACCGCGCGGCCAGGTTGCCGTTCGGCAGGGCTTGCCGTCTGACCTAGGCGCCCTCGCCTTAACCCAAGCCTGGTCATATTGTGTTTCAACTCCGTGTGCTTGCTAGCTCTTATCAATAAAGAGATTTAAGCCACTAAGCTTTTACTACTACCTGTCACCAATGTTTAGAGGTCTCTTATATTAACCCTTACAGCCAGCTTCGCTAGCCGGCCATCACAGCAGCCGCGGTGCCTCGCTTTCGCGCCTTGGGAAGCTTGTAGCTCCTTGGACAAGGAACTCTTCTGCTGGAGTAAGGCTTTCTTTCGAGGGGAAGCCCGAAAGATCATCCACCCAAGCGGAGGATGGCGGCTCAGGGCCGAAAGAAGGATAGAGGGGGCCTGTTCACTTCCCCTGTGTGGAGACACTGTCCCATGCCCCAGGTACACATCCCTTAGAAAATGGGTCTGGCTGTGTGTTTCTTGGCTACATCAATAGAACAAAAAGTAAAAAAACAAAAAAAACAAAGCACCATGGGTAGATAAAAATATAAATACAATAAGAATGTAAAGCTCGTTCTGAAGGAACGGATACGTGGAAATCATTTAAGCTTTTAAAAGTGCATGGGGTATCTCTGGGTGGTGCTGGCCAACAAACCTTGGGTTCATTTCAATGCCCACGTCCAGCAATATCCTATCTGGCATGTAAAAGTTGGCTCAAACACAACCTTGCCTTGCTGCTCCAGCGACGCCACAGTATAGGGTAATCCAGGGGTACACACAAACACCGAGTCCAGAGACAACTCCCTTGCGGGTTTATTTTCCAGGGTTTATATAGCTTGGCCACGTCACTGTGGCGACAGTTATTTCAACAGAACTATATTAATCAAGAACATTTCATTAAACAGAAAATCAAAGGTTAATTGACAATAAATAACAATAAAAAGATAAAGCAACCAGGTGAAAAACTTGTGAAAAGGAGCATTAGAAAGATAATAAAAAGTTTAAAACACAGTAAGATAAATGAATAAAACGGCACATAATTGGTAAAAAATAAAGTTCACAACATGGTACAACTTATTACTAGTACATTCCCTATCCCGAGTATCCCCTGTGAGGCTCCATTAATAAATAAAAACCATAATTAAGGTGGTGACGTGGCAGGATTTAAACAAGTTTTAAAAGGAAAAATAAAACCAATAACGTAAAATGAAAATAGTAGAATAAAGGGGAGGGGTTCGGCATTAAAATGAATTATAAAAAGCGCTGAAATCATTAAGACTTAAAAATAAATGCATAAGAAAATGAAAAAGAAAACAAAGATCCCCATCTAGCCTTAAAAGATTACGTATAATAAAATAAAGCAATAAAAAAAAACGTAAAATAAGCCAGCTCACTGATTCGGAGCATTGGAGCTCAAAGAGGGAAACGGGAAATAATAACAGTTGTATGTAAAGTTTTATTCATACAATTATCCTTAGATACAGGGTTTGGCGGTAATACAACGTAGCCATGTTGTGTGTGTAGGAATCGTGTCCAGCGTATTTGAGCGCCGCCCGCTGGATTACCCAAGTTGGTTCGGGATTCGGGATTCAGGATTCGGGTATCAAGGGTGTTGAGGGGATTGGTAGGGTATTAGGGCAGGGGATAGGGGGTAGGTGTGCGGACGAAAGCTTAAGGAAAAGGACGAAAAGGAAAGGAATTCAAGCAAGCCGAGAGATGGAAATGAAAGAAATGAGTAGGTGGTCAACGGAGGAATAGAAAAAGTAGAAAGCGAGAAAGAGATTAGTAAGGGGAAAGAAAAAGATACAGAAGAACGTAAATAGCAAAGGAGAAGAGAAGAGAGAAAAATGAACAAAAGGAGTGAGTGAGAGAAATGAGAGAAAGAAAACGAGAGGAGGATAAGAATGCATAACGAAGGAACGGGGAAGAGGAGAGAAAGATTAGCACGATAGAAAGTAAGGAGGGACGCAAGATTAGGAAGGGAAATGAGAAAATGAAAGGAAAGGGAATGAGGAAATGAACGAGGAAGTGAGAGCAAGAAAACGAGAGAGTGTTTAGAAGAGACGAAGGATAGGGAGTAGAGTGAATAGGATTTAGGTGTCAGGATGATACGTGAAGAGAAAGAGGGGGAGAGGAAGATAGGGAGAGGAGAGAGAGAGAGAGGGGGGAGAAAGGTTGGAAAAGAGGGAAAAGGGAGAGACTAAGGGAGGATAAGGGGAGGGGGAGAGGGGCTACGGCCCAGGATAGGGGGGGGGGGTGAAGGGTCGGAGACCTCACACTGGAAATAGCCGTGTTCCTCTGTTGCAGATGACACAGATAAGGATGATAAGCACACGGCAGGGACGAAATCCTAACAGTGATTGTCCAGTGTTTTGAGGCGCGAATCGGCAGCGTCACAACTGATGAAACAAAAGGTTAATGTCATTTTGCGCGGCACTTACTGGCCTGTGTTTGGGGATGATCTCCTGAGGTAATGAGCTAATGTTCGTCATGATTAGAGAGCATGGCTCCCATAACCTGAAGGTCGCATGACATTAGCTTGTTTTACATTTGAAAGATCTGGCAACCTGTATTTATCGCAGAGCCAGGAAGTTATTTTATCGTAGCATAAAAAAATATATATCTAAGAAAAAGATGAATGATAGCATTTTTTCTTTCAAAACAAATATGCATCTGTTCCATATTCCTTTTCGTATATTTTGGCCTAGATTCACAAACATAGAAGTTAGCAAAAGTCTGATAAGTAATAAGACTAACGATGAAAAAGATTTGCAGTATAATAAAATAAGCAATGTATCTGCTTTAAGAATTTATATATGTAAAATGTGATACATATATGTAATTATATGTAATTCCTATATGTGTATATATATAGAAAGATATCAAATTTATACTAGCAAAAATATTTACATATATATATATATATATATATATATACATATATATACATATGTATACACACACATGTGAGTGTACAGTATTCACATACACATATATGTATGTCTTTATGTGCGATTGTATATTTTGTGTACGTTTTATAATAATAATAATATGTATACATTTATGTGTGTAAGCATGTATAATTTGTGTTGTCGATTTTCCACTTAGGAACCGTATTTTCAGAATGAAAATGAGAACCAAGGCTGTAGTAACTATCTTTATTCCAATCGCCTCGAAGACACAATCTTCGTCTATACTGTTACAATTATAAGCAATGGTTCACAAGCTAAACAAAGCCATGAGTGGTTTACAAAGTACATGAAGTGAAATTAAACCAAAATCATAATGTAAATACACAGAGTAAGCATATTGATAAGAAACGTACTCCTTCCTACAAAGGAGAAAAAAACAACAACAACCATCAGTTCTAATTTCCCGGAATTCAAATACAGTATATGCAACAGGAAGAAAAGAGATAGATATCCACAACTCACATGCAACATTTTGTTTCTTTTTTAAAAGAAAACTTTTGACCTTTTGCAAACTTGCATTTCTCTCTGAAAATCATTTAAAATGAATAGTAGAGCAAATCAAATCACACTTTCGAGTGAAATAAGGAGCAGATGGAAGGATTTTTATAAATGTGACCCAAATTATCTTTATGTTCTTTGAACTCATATGAACATACTCCTTAAAGAACTACATGTGTTAACTTATACAACAACATAATATCCAAGATCTCTACAATCAGAATTGATTAGGTCAATTTTATAAATAGAATCAACATATAAATTCATCATCATTAACATAACTTATTTTCCATACAAAAGATTTTCCAGTGGAATAAATGTACGGAACGATTGATTCCAAACTGCAGAGGTTTAGCCATCACAGGCTTTCAGCAATAGTTTGTCTCGTCCTATGAGCAATATGGCACTGGTTTTACATTTTCTCTTTGCATGGACATGGGAGCATCCACATACGGATCTCTTAGTTCCTTTGTGCTTCATGGAATTCATGGAATTCTGTCCTAGCAAGTCAATTCATTGGTCTTCATGCTTGATTCCAGAGTTTTCATATGTGTTAGATGATGGAGCTGGCAAGAAAAGCAATCATTGCCAGCGAGAGAGACAACCATAGCATCATTTCTGTAATTAGATATGTAAGATCTTAAAATGAGACACTAAATTGAGAGAAAAAAATATGTATGCATTGTATTGTCTAAACACACACACGCACATATATATGTGTTTACATATACATACATATATATGCATACACACGTTACAAAACGTTTACACATATCTACACAGATACAAATGTATATGATAAGAAATTATCAGATTAAGACTTCTTCATGCATGAACAGTTTTATGCAAAGATCTGCAGCTGGAAATGTAATGTAAGAGTAAGCACATTTTTCTTTTCGGCAAATGACCTATCACGCGTTGTTCCGTGGCCTGAGTGGTGACTGGCTCGATTTTGTCTCCCCCATCCGTGAATACCCATACAATTAGCTGAATCCTGTTGAAAGCTTCGACATTTAGTAGCATACATTATAAATTCATATGCAATACTGGCCAAATTACTGAATGGCCCATCAGTAAAATTAAGCAAAATGCATATATATATACTTAATTACTAATCCAGTGTATCTATTAGGATACCATGGAAAAAAAATGTGTCAAACTCTAAGTTGGTGATGGAGAAGGGCCCATGGTGTGTACCTTGACGTGAATAGTAGATTCACGTATTTCTACTAAGTGGTCCAAACCTCACAGAAGAGGGAGATGGCAGAAGCAGATTGATTGACTGCGTAAAATTGTCATACAATTAAATAGCAACTATTAACACTGCATTCCAAATAGCCACAGACTATCCCTGATCATAGCGACCAAATTGCTGATGTTCTAACCGCAATGAGATGCGAAGGCAATTTCTGTTTCTATATTTATATTTAATATTAACACACACTCACACACATATATATTTATATGGACGTATCTATACACATACACAAAAACAAGTACACACACACACACACATATATGTATGTATACGCATACACCAAACACATACATTTATACATAAAGATTCATGCGTCCATGCAAACATACATATACATATGTATTTATGTGAGTATATTTGCATTGCATATATATACTTATTTATGTATATACATGCATTATATACATATATATGTATATATTATATGCTATATTTTGTTATATTGAATATATACTTACACACACACACACATATATATATATAAACATACACACACATATAAAAGTATATATCTATACACATGCACACACACATATGATTATGTGTACATATATATGTATATATATATTTATATATATATATATATATATATATATATACGATATTTGAATTTTTGCACCTATATACACAACCACGCATAGACGCATACGTTTATAAACACGCACACATTTATACCAATAAATATATATGCCAAGAAAATCGCGGATTAAAAGAACTATATGAATGTAGTAAAGATATAGAAACTTCCCCAAAACATTATCTAAAGCAGAAGTACTGTATATAAGAATTGCCGTATTTCGGCAGCAGACCTGTCTCGCTTTGTTCCGTGGCCTCAGGGGATTGTTTCATGCCTTGTTCAGTGCTCTGGGTGGATTGAGCGTCGCCTTGTTCAGTGCTCTGGGTGGATTGAGCGTCGCCTTGCTCAGTGCTCTGAGAAGTGTCTCGCTCGTTTTGCCAGATGTCTTCTCCGTCTGTGAATACCGATATGATTATGAAACTAAATCCATGTGAATGCTTCGAAATCTAACAACATGAGTTATAATTTCATATAGATTATAAGTCAAATTACTGAACAAAACTGAATAAAAAATGACGAAAATGACTACTATAGCTTATCTAAAAAGTGAGACACAGATATCATGCATGGAAAGAACTGCCCAACTCTAAATAGGTGATTGTAAAAAAAAAAAAAAAAAAAAAAAAAAAAAAAAAAAAAAAACTTACTGCAAGTGATGCAGAAAGGAGGATTGAAAATTCGAATGTACAAGGAGAAGATCTGGTTTGTCTCCGGAATGTCCAGCTTCCGCCATGTTCCGTGAGTCTTTGCGTGCACACTTGAGCGGTCGATGTTTAGATGGAGTTCACTTGAAGAGTTTCGTAGATCAAATTTTGTGCTGTTAATTGTTTCACTATCTTTCATAGTAATGATGTGGAAGGCATCGGCTGTTCTGTTGAGTGAGAGACCGAATACCATTTTTTTGTTTTTGTTGCGAAAGTCCATTATCAGGTTCTTTGAAGTGTCATTGAAGTTCAGACGTGGCTCTGAACAGTAGAAATATCCACTTCCTAGTGATAGCTCCCCTTCTTCATAGCAATCTAGAAAAGAGTAGTATAGACGTAGTATCGTATTTACTTTAGAATTCACTGAATTTGATCACTTTTTCTGATAAATGTAGCATTCCGTATCTATAACAATCTAGAGAAAAAAGAGATAGAAGAAATGTAGTATGGCTTCAAGTTGTATATGCTTTAGAATTTCTTGACTTTGATTCTCTGTTAAATGAATATCTTACTGCTCTCTGTAGGAAGGGCGCGTGAACAGGCCAGCTGCAGGAGCGCCGCCACGACCAGCCTCCGCCAGCCGGCCATCGCAGCAGCCGCGGTGCCTCGCCTTCGCACCCTGGGAAGCTTGCAGCTCCTTGGACAAGAAACTCTTCTGCAGGAAAAAAAAACTGGGGTCCACTGATTCAGAGCACGCACACAGGGATGAACAAGCAAACGGCGAGACGCCCAATGTGAGGGCCTCTAACACACGCTGCGTCTTCGAGACTAACGAAAAACAAGGATCATCCGGTCTTTTGAGACGAGTGTTAGTTACGTCACAGTTTCTGATAAAATTGAATTCAGATGTCACTCTGCGTGACATTCATGGACCTGTTTTTTGACCTGAACTCCTGAGGTAATGGGATAATGTTCATGATAACGACAAAGTATATCGTTTTGCACATCTCAGTTCCTTCACTCGAAGTCCTTAGTGGGAAGATCGTAGGAAATGAAGTTTTATGTATGACCTGGCAACTCACTGTCTTCTCAGCATCAGCGGTGGGTAATCAGGAAACCAGGAAGTTTTTATTTATTTATTTATTTATTTTTTTAAATAGATTCTTTTGCCTTATATATACATGTTTCAAAAAGATGCAGAAGCCTCATATCCAACCACGAAGAATAATTATGGTAAGAAAACCTGCTTTACTTGAAAGAAACAACGGATACTTTGCGAGGAACGACGCACATTTACATGCGCACATTTACATATGTATTTACTTATATGTTGTATATATAAATTATATAATGTATTTATATACTGTAAAAGGGCTTACTTTCTACATATATATACACATATATGCATATATAAATATGTATATGTATATATAAATATATATATGTATATATAAACATATAAGTATATATATAAATGCATATATGTATATATATACACATATATATTTAATATTATTGTATATATATATGGAAATATATATATATATATATATAATATATATATAAGACACCCACACACAAATATATATATGAAGAGAGAGTAACAGACTTCTAGATAGATAAAGGTTTACATGCATACTTACAAACAAACACACACACTCTCTTTCTCTCACACACACACACATATATATATGTGTGTTTGTGTGGTACTGTATAACTAGGGATGTAGAACGAACCATACACACGAGATAGAGTGCTTTGAGAGAGATTGACAGATAAAGATTGAGAGAGTGAGAGTGAAAGAGATTGCGAGTGAGGGAGTGAGAGAGAATGACAGTGAGAGAAGAAGCAAAAGACAAAGTGAGATTTTAGAACAACCATTCATGAATTACGCATTTCCTAATTCGTATTTTCGTAAGATATATTTGCAAAATGAATATTCATTTACATCTTTCATGATATGATTTCTATGAAATAAATCTAGAATATTAGAGGGATGTAACATTCAGAATTTATATATCTGACGGTGTAGACCTAATAGGTGACTTACAGGTGAAAGTCTCAAGGCATGAACACCACCACTACGAGTATGAGTAGTTAGTCCCATTTGCGAAATCTCTTGAGAAGAAATGACGAAGGCAGCAAATTTCATGAAAAGATGAGATGTAGTTCTTTAGTTCAATATATATATGTGTGTGTATGAATGTATATGTGTATATATATGTATATACATATACATAAAGTTAAGCATTAGGTGTCAGCTGATTAGAATAAAGAAAAAATAAAGAAGTAGGGAATCAGAGTAGTCCGGAGTCCGCGGTGAGGTTCCTGCTTTTTATTTACTGAGATTAAACACGCTATAGGTCTAGGGTAATGAAGTTTATTCTCCAATCTTAGAAAACATGAACTCTGACATGACAATACAAAACGTAGTTGAAATGGATTTATCTGTAAGTAGTATGTCTCACTAAAGTAGGTATCTATGAGGATCCTTTTTTTTCTCCTTCCATTGTGTATGGACGGGCCTATCTATGTGTGTGTTTATGTATATACATACATATTTATAATGAATATAAACAAATATATAGATATATGTATAAATATATATACTTACACGAACATATATTCATATATATGTAAATGGTTACACTTGATGATAAGCTAAGAAATCACACACTGCGAAATAATATGATCTTAATTTCTATGCTACAGAAAAAAAAGTGTTGGAAGTTAGTGCAGTAAATATGCCAAGCATTTTTTTGTATTGTCATATATCTACTATATTTACATCTGCCAGTCTCTCTTTCTATGTGTGTGTTCCTTGTTTAATATTCTTCACATGTGAGCACGTGAACGTCAGCAGAAATGCACATGTCATTCAGCATTTGGTATTTTATACTTGCCTGTTGTTAGCAGAAATTTAGTTTATGTTTCCTAATCCTCCCACTCAATCATTACGTGTAACACCCTCTACTGCCATACTAACAACACACACATATCATGCACTGTTTTGTATTCCGTATTCTTCGTCTTCACATCGTTGAGCAGCATCAGCCGAAATGTACATATCATTTTCCGTTCTAACTTCCTCCCCTTCGACCTGACCCGCTTCAAGTTCGCCCTTGTTATGTTCCACTTCCTTCTGTCCAAGTTTGATGAAAATGCCCGGACATTTCTTGCTCACTTTCCCTCGTGGCTTCGAGGTCCCGAGGGCCTGACACAGCAGGTGCATCTTTTCCAAATGGCATATTTACACACACACACACATATATATATGTATGTGTGTGTGTGTACACACATGTAAACGCACACACGCTTATAAATATCTATACGCACGCAAATGTATATCTTGCAAGAAAAATTCGGTTAATACTTCAACATGAATGTAACAGTGCTATAGAATGACCTCCTGAAGAGAACATGATGTAAATACCGTAAGCACATTTTTGTTTTCAGCATCAGACCTTTTTCACTTTGTTCCGTGGCCTTGTTCAGTGTTGTGAGTGGTATGAACGACGCGTTGTTCAATTCTGAGAAATGTCTGCCTCGAAGGCTTTGTCGTTGTGCCAGCGTTTTGACCGGTCAAAGGCAGTGTGTTCTGTGCCGCGGTCGAGGTCACGATCTGACCGCGCGGCCAGGTTGCCGTTCGGCAGGGCTTGCCGTCTGACCTAGGCGCCCTCGCCTTAACCCAAGCCTGGTCATATTGTGTTTCAACTCCGTGTACTTGCTAGCTCTTATCAATAAATAGATTTAAGCCACTAAGCTTTTATTACTACCTGTCACCAATGTTTAGAGGTCTCTTATATTAACCCTTACATTCTGGTGATAGCGGTGGTAGTTGTGTCCTTTTGGCACACAACCGAATCATCCTCCGAAGAAAACCGCTCGGCTTCAAGCAAACGCAAAATGACATTTCTTCAAGAAACTGTGAGTACACATTTTGGGCCCCTTCTCTTTTCATTTCTTTTCTATTTTTTCCTAAATGTGTAGGCCGTGTACAGCCAGCTCACGTTTGTTTTTCTGTTGGGTTAAAGTGCAAATTGCAGCAATGGCTCGCTCTCACTCTCATCTCATTTTCTTGACCTCACTTCTCATTACTGTCAATCGCAGTATGGAGTTAAACATTATAAAATCGTTCATTTATTAAGCGTCTATTTAATTTTTTTTCGTGATTAAATGAATTTATTCTTTCACGAACATTCACTCATTAAATTCTTCTCTCCCCATTTCCTGTTTTGACATATTGTATATGTAAATATATATGTATATGTAAATATATATGTATATATACATATATATGCATACACAATGCATTAAAGGCATGAGATGTGGTAAATGATTTGATGCCAAACTTTATCTTGACACAATTCTGCTAGAAATAGCCGTGTTCCTCTGGTGCAGATGACACAGATAAGGATGATAAGCACACGGCAGGGACGAAATCCTAACAGTGATTGTCCAGTGTTTTGAGGCGCGAATCGGCAGCGTCACAACTGATGAAACAAAAGGTTAATGTCATTTTGCGCGGCACTTACTGGCCTGTGTTTGGGGATGATCTCCTGAGGTAATGAGCTAACGTTCGTCATGATTAGAGAGCATGGCTCCCATAACCTGAAGGTCGCATGACATTAGCTTGTTTTACATTTGAAAGATCTGGCAACTTGTTTGTATCACTGAGCCAGAAAGTTATTTTATCTTAGTATAAGAAAAAAAAGTATATATCTAAGAAAAAGATAAATGATAGTAGTTTTTCTTTCAAAACAAATATGCTTCAGTCCCACATTCCTTTTTGTATATTTTTGGCCTATATTCATAACATAAAAGTTAGCAAAAGCCTTTGAACTGATAAGTAATAAGACTAATGATGAAAAAATTGCAGTGCAATAAAAGAAGCAATGTACCTGTTTTAAGAATTTGTATATGTAAAATATGATACAGATATGTAACTATATGTAATTTATATATATATATATATATATATATATATATATATATATATATATATATATATATATATATTTATACTAACAAAAATATAAACATACACATATATGTATATTTATACATATATACATATATACATGTGCATGCATTTGTATTTGTGTATATATGTGTATTATATATATATATATTGTATATTTTGTGTACGTTTTATAATAATAACATATACATTTATGTGTAAGTAAGCATGTGTAAGTTGGGTTGTCGACTTCCCACTTAGGAACCGTATTTTCAAAATGAATAGGAGAAGTAAGGCTGTAAATATCTTTATTCCAATCGTCTCGAAGACACAAACTTCGTCTATATTGTTACAATTATAAGCAATGGTTCACAAGCTAGACAAAACCATGTGTGATTTACAAAATTAGATGAAGTGAAATTGAACCAAAAACATAATGTAAATACACAGAGCAAGCATATTGATAAGAAACGTACTCCTACAGGCTATATTTGAAAAAAAAAAAAAAAAATCAGTCCTAATTTCCAAGAATTCAAATACAGTATATGCAACATGAAGAAACGAGACAGAAATCCAAGTCTCACATGCAACATTTTTTTTAGAAAACTTTTGACCGGTTGCATATTTGTTTTCCTCTCTGAAAATCATTGAGAATGAATCCTAGAGCAAATCATATCAATGTCACACACTTTCGAGTGAAATAAGGAGCAGATGGAAGGATTTTTATAAATGTGACTCACATTATCTTTTTTATGTTCTTTGAACTCATATGAACATACTCCTTAAAGAACATGTGTTAACTTATACAACAGCATAATATCCAAGATCTCTAGAATTAAAATTGATTTGGTCAATTTTATGAATAAAATCAACATATAAATTCATTATCAATAACATGACGTATTTCCCATACAAAAGCTTTTCCAGTGGAATAGATGTACGGAACGATTGATTGCAAACTGCAGAGGTTGCTTGGACACAAGCTTTAGTCATCAGACGAGGTTTGGCCTCATAGGAAAGGGAGATGGCAGAAGCAGATTGACTGCTTAAAATTGTGTGATATAATTGAATAGCAACTAATAACACTGCA